GGCCCTTGGGAAGGGGAACGACAGCGATTGGAGATGACGTCACTCCTCAGGCGCCCGGAGCCCCTCCCCGCCGCCATGGCGACCGCCCGGTTTCCGGCGCGGGGGGTGGAAACGGAAGTGCTGTGGCTCCGGGGCCGGAAGGGCCGGGCTTTTGTCCGCCTCGGCCGGAACGGAGGCGGCGGCGACGGAGGACGAGGAGGAAGAAGAGGAGGAAGAGGAGGCCTCCGAGGGCCCCCCTCAGACCTGCTGGACGGGAGCGGTGAGTCAGCGGGAGAGAGGAAGGCCGACTCGGCCCCGTTCCCTTCCGTGTCCCTTCGTCGGTTAGAGAGAGAGAGAGAGAGAAGGAAAAGGGAGCGAAGGGGAGCCCGGGGCCTCCTCCTCCACCGCCTGGAACGGGAGCCAGGGCTCCAGTGTGGCCCTGGAGGGGATCCCCCGAGCCTCCCGGGGGTTTCGTGGGCTCCAACCCCGTCTCTTGGGACACACTACAATTCCCATCATCCTCAGCCTCCTCTTTTTGGGCACACCACGACTCTCATCATCCCCGCCCCCCCTTTTCTTGGGACGCTCCACCGCTCCCATCTCGTTGAACACGCCACAGTTCCCATCATCCCCAGCCCCCTCTTTTGGGATGCATTAAAAATCTCATCAGTCTGATCTTTCGTCTTATAATGCCTTGTTGGTTAGTATTCATGTTGTAGTTTTTAATTGTTTTTCTTTTGGGTGAGCCATCCCAATAACCTGTGTTATCGAGCGCATAAGTATAATATTGTGACTGGTTATCTGTATGTGATGAAGAGTATTCTGTTCTGCACATCCTCTGGTTAGGCTGTGATAGACTTGCTTGATTTTAAGGTGCCACAAGACTCAAGTTAAATTGGACACATTACTTGTTTGTTAAATATACAAATTCCTTTGCTGAAAAAGAAAGGAAAGGTAGATAAACAGTGGCACTTAGGTTTGGGCTATTCCTCACTTTAGGCTATGTATGTGTTTTGTTAGGAACACTAATATCCTTAGCCAGCTCATATTATGTTATGAATGTAATATGCTGGTGTAGGTTAAGAATTATATATAGCCTTTAGTGATGTTAAGGATCTGAGCTGAGAAGTACTAGCCACTTGCTTTGTGAATCAAGGGAATAGCTGAAAAGGTTTGTATGTGAGACTGTTCAGAAGCCTGAGGTATTTCATCTGATTAGCCTGGTTGGTATCCACAAAATGTATTTACTAGCCTGCTCATCGAAAATTAATCACTTGTGGCTAAAGAAACATTATGCAAATCAGGTTTGCTTACCACGGTGACCTAGAGGCATTTTGTACTTCCCGTGCATGAGGAAGTTATTTGCCATTTGGGATTCCCTTGTCATCTACTGTTTCTTTCATGTTCTTCAAAAGAAATCAGAAAGTACTAATAGATCTGTTCTACCTGCAGGCATTCTGCTTTCTCCTGACTGGTGCTCAGTCGCTTTGGCTGCCCTGGCTATTTGCCCATTTGTGGAGATCCTGGGTGCCTCTGCCCACAACGTGCTGCCTTGGATTTAGCCTTTGAAGGAGGATCCATGTATACCCCAGGTGGCTCGGTGTTGCCCAGTGGGCGCAGGCGGAGAGGCCAGGATGGGAGTGCCTTGCCCAAGCAGCCAGAAAGGAGCCTGGCGTCTGCCTTGCCGGGCGCCCTCTCGATCACAGCCCTTTGTACTGCACTGGCGGAGCCTGCTTGGCTACGGATTCACGGGGGCACTTGTTTGCGGCAAGAGCTGGGGGTGGCTGATGTGCTTGGATACGTAGACCCTGATTTACTTAAAGGTGAGCTTGAGATGTGGATGATGTGGGCTTTCAAAGAAAAATGTGGCATGACGTGTTGAAGCAGTAGCCATGTAACGTGACCTTCCTTTGTTTGCTTGCCAGGTGGTTCTGTTGAGATCGGTGAAACTTATTCCCAAGGAAACGAGTGAAGGAGTGGAAATTCAGTCTTTGGGAGGGGTGGATTCTGTGCATATGGGCGGTTTTTGCTGCTGTGTTTCTTGCGCACTCCCTTCCGTCTTGTTATTCTCCTGCCCCCAACTTGTCAACCTGCTGTTTGTATTTTAGACTGGATAAGACCAAGTCACAAATTCACTATGCCAAAGCCCATCAGGCATTTTTAGTGCACCGGGGGTGGGAGCAGGGATTACCATAAACCAAACGGGCAAGGTAGCTTTTCAAAGGTGTGTGGTTAATTTTCAGCCAGACCATTGGACAATAGCCAAGAGCTTTCCTCTTTCTGCTAAGGGTGTTGCTCTTGAGACTTCTTGAATGCCCAGCCCATGATATATCTATCACTCCTCTTTCAGCTGTATTATTTTCTGAATGCTCCCAGATTTGCTTGTTGCCTACGACACTTGGAGGCATGCGAACACCTCCTTAATGCCACCTTTCATTTCTTTCATGCCCCTGCTCCAAACTCACCTTTCCTTCTGATGCTTGTTTACCAAAATGCTTATGTTTTCATCTAAAAGGAAGTTGCAACTACATTGGTTCACATTCATCTCTGTTGCACCTGCCTTTCACCTTTACTTTCCCCCCATCCACTCACAACATTTAGGCTATAAAGCTGTCTAGATCAGGAACCCAGTTTGGTCGGTTTGCTTGCTTGGAAACTGTTGCTCTCTGGGGTGCTAAATGCAGAAAGAACAAAGGGACTCCATGGCTGCTAGCAGGCAATAAAACCTTTCATAGCAGGATGCAGTGTTCCACCTACTGCATTTTATATCCATGGTGTCAAAGAAAGTCCTTCTTGGCCAACATGGCGCAGAGTGTCCTGCTGGCATTAATACGAAGTCTTTCAATGTGGCAAAACTGTGGAAACAGTTTTACCCCCTTTTGTGCTACTGATTCACAGGTCTGCTTTTCTTTAAAACAATGCTGTTTCTTTTTGGCCAAGCCCAACATGAGTGCAAAACAAATGTTAAAAATGTGGGTTTAGTATTGCTTTTGTTTACCGTTTCTCAGAGTGGTATTTGTTTTTTTTTCCTTTTTAATATTTTTATACTCAATGTTTTTAGCTTTCAGTATTGTCCTTTAATGACGTAAACCACCTTTATATACTCATTGTTTTCAGCTCTAACATTGTCTTTTCATTACGTAATCCGCCTTGGGTCCTTTTTAAGGAGAAATACAGAGTAAAATTATTTTTAGTAAATAAAATAAAATGGTGCTGGAGGAGACTCTTGAGAGTCCCCTGGACTGCAAAAAGAACAAACCTATCCATTTTGAAGGAAATCAACCCTGAGTGCTCACTGGAAGGACAGATCCTGAAGCTGAGGCTCCAGTACTTTGTCCATCTCATGAGAAGAGAAGACTCCCTGGAAAAGACGCTGATGCTGGGAAAGTGTGAAGGCAAGAGGAGAAGGGGACGATGAGATGGCTGGACAGTGTCATCGAACCGACCAGAATGAATTTGACCCAACTGTGGGAGGCAGTGAAAGGCAGGAGGGCCTGGTGTGCTCTGGTCCATGGGGTCACGAAGAATCGGACACAGCTTAACGACTAAACAACAACAACAAATAAAATTAATTGATAGATAATAACAAAAAACTATATGATGAGGTTTGCAAATTTTGGAGCAGTTGCAGACTAAATGAAATTCCCAGATGGGTCCAAGAAGTTATAACACTTGGCAACAGTGATGCCGTGGTGTAAAAGCTCCTGTTGGGTTTTGTCTTCCCTTTCTCCCAGACTTCTGCATGAATCCACAGACAGTGTTGTTGCTTCGGGTCATTGCGGCTTTCTGTTTCTTGGGGATCATCTGCAGCCTTTCGGCCTTTCTCCTGGATGTCTTTGGCCCCAAGCACCCTGCGCTGAAGATCACACGACGCTATGCCTTTGCCCACATCCTTACAGGTAATTGGGGGGCGGTGGCCGAGCCCCTGGGAGCCTCGTTGTGTTGCCTCCACTTTGAGCAACCTGGATTTTAACATAGGGAAGGATAATGGAGGAAAGGTGTTCAGAACCTTGGATTGTATTCTTCAGTCACGTCTCACTGGCCATTTGTTTTTCAACTGCAGAAACTTTTTAGGCAGCTAAAAAGTGTATGTTTGTAAGACGGTTTAGAATAGAGGAATGGTGCTTCTCATGACTCTCTATCTTGCGAGTGATGAAGGCACTCCTGATTTATGTACCACATCCTCCTCATTAGTAGTTCTTAGACTTTAGCCCAGTAAATATTCTGGACTTCATTTCCCAAACGTCGCAGCCGATGTGCCCCGTGGTCCAGAACCCTGGCCATTAAAATTCAAAATGTTTGGAGTTCTGAAAGTCAAGACCTTCTGGCCTGTAAAAAAAGAGAAAGAGAAAAGTTGTTGTTGTTTTATTTATTTATTTATTTATTCATTCATTCATTCATTTATTGATTGATTGATTTATTGATTTATTGATTTATTTGATTTATACCCCACCTATCTGGGCGACTCGTCCACTCTAGGCGGCTTACAATATAACATCAAACAATAAAACACAGAAAAGTACATAACCGTACAGTACAATCATTACAATTATAATAAAATGGAGGGATAATAAAATAAGAGAAAAAAGAAAAGAGATCAGGTATTCACTGGAGGGAAGGCCTGGATGTATAACCATGTTTTTACTTGGGTTTTAAAGATTCCCAGCGTTGTTCAAAGCCAGAAGGATCTTAGCAGTCTCACTTCAGGAAGCACAGTTTGTGGTGTCTTGATGCCCCGATCTTCTGACCGCTCTTGCTTTGACATGTGCTAACACCAGATGCCTCCTCTCCCCTTTTGCTTCTGCCTTCAGTGTTGCAGTGTGCCACAGTGATCGGGTTCTGTTACTGGGCCTCGGAACTGATCCTGGCGCAGCAGCAGCAGCACAAGAAGTACCACGGCTCTCAAGTATACGTTACGTTCGCCGTCAGCTTTTACTTGGTGGCCGGAGCCGGCGGGGCCTCCATCCTGGCCACGGCGGCCAACCTGCTGCGCCACTACCCCACCGAAGAAGAGGAGCAGGCCTTGGAGCTCCTCTCCGAGATGGAGGAGAATGAACCTTACCCGGCCGCGTACGACGTGATCAATCAGTTCCAGCCACCCCCGGCGTACACCCCGTAACGCCGTCTGTTGGGAGACCTGGCCGAGGGAAGGGAGGATTTGGCAAGCTGTCCCCCACAACTGAAAGGCCTGTGACGGTTTGGGAATGCGTTCTCTTCTCTGGGGCCTGCCCACTGGTGTGTGTTTTCCATTCCCCTGGCGGTCCAGTCAGTTCCGAACTCACCCGGGAGAGTCGCTCAAGCAGGAGCGTGGCTTGTTCAGAGACTCTGCTCTCCCGGGTGCCCTGTCTCCAAAAGCAATCGGCTGGGAGATCTTTGTTTTCCCAGCACCTTGAATGGCAGGCCCTGAGCCGCTGGAATTCCTGTCCGGTCGGACCCAGCAGCAGCTCTGCACTTTCCCTGGGCTCTGCAAGGCTCCTCCCGCGCAGCCCCGAGGCTGGTGCTTTATCTGGACACACTTCTGGGCCGAGTGGAAGGACACAGCTGCTTCAGGAAGAGGTCTTGCCTCATGCGTGAAAGAGATGGCACGTCCACACTCACTTTGGTGGCGGGAGGCGGGGTGGGGTGGGGGTGGGCTCCACCGTCCTTTGCATAGGATAAGATCTTACACTGGTATGCACACTTGAAATACCAACTTCCACAGAGTCTAGCACTGTTGTGTCTCCCAAGCTCGGAAGGGCTGCCTTTTTGGGGGGAATGTGACTTTCCTTCACTGATCTTCACATCAGGGGGGCATGAATGGGCTCTGCATTTAGCACATCTGAAGGTGAGAACCATTCTCTATGCACTTGTTTTGTGGGGAGTTGCCACGTTTCAGCTGAAAGGCATGGTAAGCTTTCTGCCTCCATTGTTTCACTTGTGTCGTTCCCCCCCACCTTCTGCCTCATGCTACTTAACAGAAGCGTTTTGCACTTTATTTGCTGATCCCACGACCCCCTTTTCCTGCCTGACCTTTTTTGGGGTGGGGGTGATGTCCAAACACACCTTTGCAGAACCAGCCGAAGGATAATGCCACTACTGAATTTTCTCTTGGGCTCTCGTTTATGGTAAAGGAAAAGTTGTCATTCCAGTTGGCGCATCCGTTCATGCAGGCAGGCACACATGCGCCTCTCCCTGTGCCATTACACGTGATCCAGCTTTTAATAAAAGGTCCCGGAACTGATTCAGTTTTCATCTGTATTAAGATGATACACAAATACTTGGTTCCAGACGGGATTTTAATTATTTTATGTATGTTTTAATTTAAATCTTTCCTGCCTACTTTTAGTTCTTCGTCCTGCTCATGCCTCAAAAGTTACTTCTCCTGACTTAAGGCAGTGGTCACGTCCACATGATCCTCTAAATCATGATTCGTTGGTTCAGCTATAAATTGTCCCATAAATGACCAAACACATTACAGTCCATTTCTCCCATTTCAGTCTGCCTCTCTCCTGCCCTTTCTGTCAGTTTCTGTTTTAGGGTGAGCAGCTAGAGAAGCCAGCCACAGATAAACCAAGCTTCTGGGTGTGAACAAGCTGAAGTTCCTAAGACAGCTACAAGCCTTGGTTCTGTCAGTTTCTGTTTTAGGGTGAGCAACTAGAGAAGCCAGCCACGGATAAACCAAGCTTCTGGGTGTGAACTTAACAACAAACGGAAGTTCCTAAGACAGCTACAAGCCTTTGTTTTATGGTGGCATGGCAAGGTAACACGTGCTGGTTTGCTTACTGGGTTGTGTTCAGAGACCAGAGCAAGCAAGAGCTGGACAAACTGCAGCTCAGCTTACAATTACTGCTAAACCTGGCTAGTGTTTAAGGCAAAAGAAGAGTTTGTCCTGATGACAACAGGCAGTATTGAAAGAAAATCTCCATACATGAAAACGGACTTCCTTTTTCTCCTTCTATTGTATTTCATTACAGCTCAAATGGCTTTGAATAACTGGTGATTTCATCTGCTCAGTAGTTCTCACCCCCCCCCCCAATGCAAGGCAGAGTTTATGTGGAATAGAAAATAAGAGAGAAGTGCCTTTCCACACTGAGCTCTCTCTAGAGCTAAAAATAAAAATTTTAAGTATTGTCAGAATGCATTTACTCCTGTTCATACAGAATTACAAGATACAGGAGTGAAAGTGGGCGGATGTGATAAAGGTATTTGCTATCCTATTAATGCTGAAGTTATATTGTGATCTTGTTTTTTAGAGTTATAGTTGAGACACATCAGTTTCTCTCTGCCCTTCCCCTGCTTGTCTCTGTTCATGCTAAGAGAATTAGGCGTAGCGTAGTCTGTTAAGATTTCCGGAAACAGACATGAAGCAGTACTTTTCAGCCAGCGTGGGATGTCTGACTTCATTGGGTTCTCCTAAATCTGGGGTGGAGGACCTTTGGCGTTCCAGTGCTGATGAGCTGCTCCTCCCATCATGTCTTGCCGTTAGGCTGATGGGAGTTGGAGGGACACATATCCCCCACCCCAAGTCCTCGGGAGGAAAGGCGTGGCAAAGGCAGGAATTTGGGCCAAGTCTAATAATAAAAAGAGGAAGTGTATGGTTTGTTTTTTCAAGAGAGCAAACAGCGTGGCCTTGATTCAGCTTCAGTCCCATTCATAAGAGTGTATCAGCAGCATAGCCTTATATTTTGTGTCCTTTCTGTCATTCTCTTTTCCAGAAGAAGGGTTCCCTCGCACACCCCAAGGCAGACTCCACAGCACCTCACGCCTGTGGTGGGAGTAGAAACTGGCCTCCCAACCGCTGCCCACAAGAAGCTAATTTGGCTGTAAATAGTGTACATAATTTCCCCATCTCCATCTAACTCTCTAACCTTTGGGTATTGACGAGGTTGATGTGACGTCTGGGGAACGGTGAAGGTCACTCTCTAACTACTAGTCGTTCCCCCCTCCCCCGTGGCCCAAAAGAGAGAAAGCAAGGGTAACTATACCTCTGTGTGCCAAAGGGAGCTTGGCCTATCTCCAGAATGGAGATGGCACCGCTTGGTTGTGTTTTTTTTCATGGAGGGGACTTGACCAAAACCGGTTTCCACGTAATCTGTGTACTTGGTTACTGTGATCATGTTAGATCTTGAACATAATAATACATGATGCACTGTTGATTACACCCATCTATAAAATCCTGGACTTGTTTTTTTACCAAAAATAATAATAATAAAACAAGGATGTATACAGTCTCTGTTCAGTATTTTGACAGTGGCTTGCGAACAAATTGATCCCGTTTGGAGAACGCTGTGTGTTTCCCCTCTACTAGAAACCAGTAATCAAACATGGCTAATCCTTGCTTAAGTGTTACCAGCCTCTCCAGCAAACTGCGGTTTAATGTTTGTTTCTGCCACTAGTCATCCTGTTACAGGTTATGTGCAAATCATCCTTCCCCCTTTGCCACAAACTGCCTTTAACCTGCTTTCCTTGATGCTGGCACGTGACAAAGTAGAATTTCTGATATTTTATGCAGGAAGGCATAAGGTGTAAGAAAACAGTCAACTGAAGACATTTTCTCAACTTCTTTCATGCACCCTCTGCCCAAGAAAGCTGTTTTAAAGCTGTTGATTCCAGAGTACACTTTAATGCACGTTAATGGCCAAGAGAATTTGTAGAGAGAAGCTGCACATTCTGTGTCCTAGATTAATATTGGTGGGCTCCAATTCCTTTCAGCTCCATCAAGCTTGGTCCTGAGATTAGAGAAGCTGCTATTCAGCCTCAGGAAGAGCAAAGAGTTTGCAGCACTGATTGTCATCTTCCAGTGTTTGTAATGGTTTACAGTGAAAAATTTAGGTCTTTGCCCCATGGGAACGTAAAATTGCAGTTTTGACAATGGGGAAAGGAAGGGCAATTCATTATTTGCACCGAGGAGTGAGGGGAAATGTCATGATGAATGTACAAATACAATAGTGAAATTTTTTAACAGAACAAAGGTTGTTTATCGTCTGATTTCAAAATGTGATTGTTTGCTGTTAAAGAATGAGAGCTATTTTGTAACAGAAATAGTGGGTTTTGTTGTTAGGAGTTATTTTGATTACCCTGCCTTGTTCAGTCCAGCTTCTCTTACAGGGCACACATTTTCAGGCTAAACAGTGTGTCCTTTGTTCTCAAAGAACAGATTACCCAGTTTATTTAGAGTTGGCTTGGGCATGTAATAAAATGTTTTTGATTTCTCAAAAAAGCACCTAAGAGGAGAGGGTATCACCATCTCACTTGAGTATTTTAGATAATTCCATTCTCTTTATTTTTCTACTTGCTATGCTCTCCATTGGCTTATGTATTAAACAAACAATCTTACACATGCAAGATACTTAATGATAGAGCCCCCACCCAACCTGTTTCACAATTAAAATTGCATACTGTTATTAAGTATTGGCATTTGCTACTTTGTTTTAAGGTGATGTGTTCCTTCAACTGATTCACACTGGAATAAGCTTCAATGTTACACCTCCATGAAGAAGCTGTTGCAACAATTTTGACAGATGAAAGATGCGCATTTAATAAAATGTGCCACTTAATAGTTAACTGTCTCATCTCTTAAGACTTCTGTTTTTGCTGAATTTGAGGACATGCAAATTATTTCTTGTTACAATAACCGAGCAGTTCTGAAGGGGGGTGTTCCAAAACAAGTTCAGAACCATTCAGTATTACGAGAAGCTCTAGAATTAAAAGATGGATTTGCCACTGTTTGTGCTTTGCCTTATCTCTTACAATTGATGGTTGCAATTGAAGTAGTGTCATCTTTTGTGATGGCTTCAACTGGGAACATGTACAAAATCAATTCACATCTTTGTGGAAGAGGGTAGTGAATATGTGTGGGTTGCATTGGGGGCTTACCAAGTTGGGATGCTGGTAGCCGAGATTTAAAATGGAGGAACAGCAGCATTTCATCTGTGTTTAAAGTTTAACTTTTAGTGATCTAGTACCCTTAAATACCAATTTTTCCAAATTGGAGACATATTTCTGGCTGTCCCACTTTTTATTTTAATATGTGTGTGTGTGCGCACGTAGCTATACTTGTGTGCCTATAGTATACGTGTGTATGTGTGTACACGTGTACAGGTGGACAGATGCTGCTCTGCCTTGCACCACAACCCTGGGAGCTAGGCTGGCCTGGCCTTTTGGGAGGCGCGACGGGGCCGCCCTCCCGTCCCCTTCGGAGGGGAGGAGGCCAGCCCCGCCGACCGCTTTCCTCTCAGGCGCCGCCGCGGGCAGCCCCGCCGGGGTCCTGCGGTCTCCAAGGCGCCCTTGAGTGGGTCACAAGGCCGGAGTCAAGATGGGTGGAGGAGGAGGTGGAACCGGCGCAGCCGAACCCTGTCGGGCGCCGAGCAGCGGTTGGGCCGCGGAAGGAAACAGACGTCCCTCTCGACCAATCGGTTGTGCGGATGGCAAGGAGAGGCCAATAGGGAGCGCCACCGGAAGGGCGGGGGGCGGCGCCTAAGAGGGCAGCGGGCGTGGCCAAGGAGGAGGGGAAAGCCAGCGCCGTGGTCTTCATGAGGGCGGCTTAGGCGCGAAGGAAAGAAGAAGGAGGAGAAGAGCAGGCAGGTCGGCAGGCTGGAGGGAAGGAGCCCAAGCCGGCCTCAAAGCCCTGCGGCGGGCCTATAGTCACCGGCGTACCGCAGGAGGAAGGGGGCGCCTGCCTTTCGGTGGCCAGGTGAGTTCTTTTACCCAGGTTGGGGGGCCGGTTGGGGGGCCAAGGGCGGCCTCTTTCCTTCCCTCCCTCCCGAGGCCTTGGCAGGTCGGCTCCTTGCAGCCCCAGGACAGCTGCGCCTGCCTGCCGTGAGGAATGCTGGGAGTTGGAGTCCCAGGAACCCGGGAAGGGCGGTGCAAGGGGCCCCTCCTTTGCTCCCTTGGCCGGGGGTGGGTAGGTCGTGTGGGGGGGTAGGGTGACCCCCACCCCACCCCCAGGATCTCAAAGGCCGGGATTGGGTAACCTTGCCAAAAGCAGGCATGGGGGCTGAGCCAGGAGCCTCTCTCTCTCTCTGCGCAGGCCTCCCCAAATCTAGGAACTGCAATTAAAATGGAAGGAGTCCCAGGAACCCGGGAAGGGCGGTGCAAAGGGCCCCTTCTTTGCTCCCTTGGCCGGGGGGGAGGTAGGTCGTGTGGGGGGGGGTAGGGTGACCCCCGCCCCATCCCCAGGATCTCAAAGGCCGGGATTGGGTAACCTTGCCAAAAGCAGTCATGGGGGCTGAGCCAGAAGCCTCTCTCTCTCTCTGCGCAGGCCTCCCCAAATCTAGGAACTGCAATTAAAATGGAAGGAGTTTATCCCTCCAGCCATGCCTTTGCAAAATGGGACTGGTGTGTGTGTGTCTGTCTGTCTGTCTGTCTGTCTGTGTGTCTGTTAAATGGGTGGCGGCGGCTGGGCCTCATTGAAAGGGGGATCATCGCTCCGGAGGAGATTCCAGTGGTTGTAATTTAGGTTGTTTTTTTTTTTAATATGCTGAGAAAAAGGAGAACCGTGGGAGGGGTGGGGGCTACAAACAAACAAACAGGCTGGGGAGGGGCTACAGGGGTGGCTACCCCTGTTGCAAGCTGAAGCCCCCCCCCCACCTCGGTACTGCAGGGGAAACCTGATGGAGAAGGGTTGGGTGGGAAGAATCTGTTGGTCAGGAGCAGAGGCGGTGATTTTTAAGGTGCCTGGCTTGGTCCAGGTCTGTCAGTTGCAATGCATTAAATTGCAGTGTATAATGTGTGCATATAAATAAAAAAATTAAGAACACAAGTTTGAAGCACTGCTCCTAGGTGTCATAGTAAGCAGATATACTCTATCATCAGAATGCTGATGGGGTTTTCTCTGTAGTGGGCCTTTGCCACTAAGATCCAGTCTGATTAGCTAGCTAGAGATTCAGTGGCTTCTTGTACTCCATCAGAACATTAACTGTTACTGTCTCCTTCTGCCCCCCCCCTGCAGAAATCCATTTTGGAGCGGGGGTTCCTGAAGTCTTGCTGCTATAATCTAATGCAGAGTAACTAGCTTTTGTCATGGCGCTCTCCTACTTTGAGTCCAGAGGACAAGTCTTAACACGTGGCGTATTTCTTACGTTTGCATCTGTTACGCTTTGACCTCATCCCCGCACAAGCACGGAGCTGCGAAGCAGAGCAGGATTGTTAGTGTAGTCTCTGCAGGCTGGGTGACAAGTTGGTCTCTGAGGTTAGCGATCCAGATGAGCAGTGTCTTTTTTCCTGTTAGCTGGGTTGAGAGGGCAGATGCATGCCTTGGCTGTTGGTGCCGAATTCACTGCCTGCAGAAGGCCGCCAGTTTGTGCTGGGTCTCTCTTTTTTGTTTTTAGATTGGAGAGCATTGGTGACTTATCTAGACTTCTCCATCAGGGTTGTGGCTGATTGACGGTGAAGGGTGAGCTGGAAGACCGAAAGCCGATTGGGTTGCTAATACGTACAGATTACCTGGCAGGATACAACACCACGTCAGTGGAGGGGAAGGCAGAGAAAGGATGTTTCTTCTTTCTGATTCTTGCTTATCTGTTGAAATGGTGTATCTCTGCCTCAGAGAGCGCATCATTTTTGGCCAAGAATGCAGTGAATAAATGGCCCTTTTCATCGGAATGGCCTCGGCTTTGTTCTTTATTCCACATTCCCCGGTCTGTAGCAATGATTTGTAGAAATGTATTTCTTTGGGCAAATTAGTTCTTCAGATGCTAGAAACAGGCTTGCAATCTATACAGCTCTCTCTTCCAGTCTGTCTGTCTATGCAAGACATTGTTGTATTTATTTGTTTATTTTTATCCCATGGGTGTTTTGTATCCAACTATTGACTGATATAAGGGTCCTTTTGAGGAGAAAAGCATAGATGGATAGATAGGTAGACAGATAGATAGATCGTGTGTCCATGAACAGGATAGAAAATTGAAGGCTGCGTATTCAAATAGTACCTTGTGTATGTATTGCTGTACTATAAAAGCTGTCGCTGACCAAATCTGTCTGCAATTTTGTCCTGGACATAACTTAAAATAACAAAGCACATTTGAAAGAGTAGCAAAGTAATTTTCTCAGTTATCACCTCTTGGCCGCTTCTTCTAAGATTAATTTCCTGCTCTGCTCTTTTTCCTGGGCTAGGACTTCAGCTCGTTGGCTTGGCAGGAATGTTCCACCCACGCCAATGGAGGCCTTCCTCCAGCATTTATTCCCACTATGCTAACGCCACCCGTTCTATCAGCCACAAAGGGAAGCTGGGCTTGTGGCTGAGTGAGAACTCCTTGAAGGGCAGGTACCAGTGGCTGCTCACCTGGCTACAGAAGGACACCGCTCCGTGCCCAAAGAGGAAGAGCCTCCTCTCTCTGCTGGCCAACCAGTGCAGTTACGTGACCAGCCAGAGGGTTCAGCGCGCGCAGCAGATCGGACAGCTCTACAACAACATCTACTCGGAGAGGACGCGGAGAAGCCTCTTCAGTTCTTTGTGTCGTAAGTTCCAGGGGCGTCTCACCAATGCTGGCAAACTGATGGCAGCCCTGACCGGGGTGTTTCTGTGGGAAGAAGAGCGGATCAAAGAGGAGGAGCTGAGAAGGTGGGTCCCTCCTGCCCCTGCTTTTAAATGGTCCAGGAAAAGGGAATAGTATTATATGTGTATGTGGTTGGCTGCTCTGTTAAAGTCTGCGATTGATAAGTGTTTGTCTCTGTGTTCATAGTTTTTTATGTGCCATTCTGACTCCCAGCAGAGAGATGCAAGGAATATTTAAAAAAAGTGGTACTAGGGTAGCTAGGAGAGATAGGTGGGAACATGTCTGCCTGTATGAGTCTTCCGGTCAAGGCACATAAGCTTCCCTTTCCTGTTTTCAAGTAACGCAGCAGTCACATCGGCTAAAAGGAACTGATTTGTTTCCAAGTTAATCTCTGTGTGCTTTTTGAAATGTTTGTCAGTAATTCTGTAAATGTGAAATTGTAGAGAGTGAATAGGATCTCAGTGGGCTGGCCTGTTATTTTAGTGGCATTAAACTGTATTTCTCTCTCTCTGGGTTCCTTTGCAACAATAGTGTCTTCCTACTGAATTAAAAAATAAATACAATTATTTCTGACCACCAGCGCTTGGACATGATGGCTTTTGCCTAACACTGTAGTACATGTGTGAAAAATCCTGTTTGTGAGACACTGGCAGATTGTTGAGTATAACGGAGAAGGCAGCCAAGATCTCTCCTCACTTTTGTGGGGCATCTTTAAGTGACACGTCTTAGAACTTTGTGCAAACCACTGATTCGTAATAAAAAATTGTACCTTTTGCACTTTGGTTTGCAACAGGATAGTAGAGAATGATATATTGATTCAATCTAATTTGTATTACTGCAAGGGAGCCCTGGAATGGCTGCCATACTTGGTTTCTGCATCACACCAGAGTGGGGCCTGTTTGGGAATCTTGCACCCTGCGTCATGTGGGTCAGAATTACTACTAACCAGGCTCCGATAGATAGGCAGAAGAAGGATAAGTGGGATGAATTAAAAATGCATTGGGATATTAGTGGGTTTTATGTGATGGCTTTTAAAGCTGGAGTTCAGTTTTCCAGTGGAGATACAAAGCGCCCCCTCTTTTATTTCTAAAGAAGCAATTGTGTTAGCCTGGTGCAGCTATAACAAAGAGAGAGAGAGAGAGAGAGAAAGTCACATGGCAGCTTAAAGACCAACAGAATCATTATAGTTTGGGCTCTTGTCCGCTTGTGTGTGTTTTTTTACAAAAGTGGGAGGTGATAGGTGTGTGAGTGGAAGCAGTTTCCCATTGATGAGAAATAGGATCACCATCCTCATCTTGTTTGTTATGTAGCCCTGGGACTCCCAAGCTGAATGCAACCTGCAAGCCCTGCATGGGAGCGATCAGAGCTTTCCAGATCCCCATCATTCTGATGCCTGTGTGGGGACTGCAAACACGACGAGCTTTAATGGGCCCCCTTGTGTGTGGTCAAAAGCAACAGGGGCTTTCTTTTCTGAACCACTCTGTCTTCTGGATCTGTAGTGGTAGCAAGTACAAGGAGCCCTTGTCTTTATTTGGCAGTAGACATTTTAAAAAAACCTATGCACACAATCATACCTTGGTATCTTTTGCAACCCTCAAGTGCCAAGGTCTCTGAAATCAGTGAAGTGTGCTATCAGAAAAGCAGCAAACAGAAGTCTGTTTTCCTTGTTCAGTGTTTGAAGAAGACTAAGGCTTTTTAAAGCTGCAGGAGTTTACTGTGTGTTGGTCAAAAAGCACTCCATCAAGACAAATGTGGGATGTATTTTGTCTCGGATATGTTTTGTTTAGAGAAAGAAAACTTTGAATGGCAAGTTGCTGAACATTCAGAAACATGGTTTAGTACAATGCTTGTGACAGTCTCCCAAAAGGGTTGTGGTGTGTGTAGAAGGCTAGTCATGTCAGTCTGGAGCAGCGAAATTAACAAGAGTTTCCTGGGGGAGCTTTGAAGTCTAAAAGGTGCATCTGAAGGAACAAGATGTAGTCCACCGTCATGGAATGCCGAATAAAGCATGTTGGTCTTTTAAGTACCACAAGACTCTTGGTTGTGTTGCAGTTCTGCTCCCATTGGTGTGTGTGTGTGTGTTTGTGTATATTTGCAGTGGACGTTGCACCCAGGATGGTGTTTTTTCCCCAATGAGGTTTTAATTTTGTGAACGTCTTGGAAGGCTTTTGCCACGTGCGTTGAGACTTTGTAAGCCAGCCAGCCAGTGTGTCTTTCCCCTTTGCACCAAAGTGCAGAGAAATCTCTATGTCCCTTAAAGCCCAACGCTGGCAGAACTTAGAATTGAGCTCACACCCGGCTTAGTTTTAATGACGTCTAAACGAGCTTTGTTGGCAAGCCCGGAATCTTTTCAGCAAAGCAGGAGTAAGACTATTGTCTTAGCTGGGTCATTTGAGAAATTCATTTGACTTGGCTTGTGTGCTTTGTTTTATATTTAGATCTTGTGATGGTGGTACTTGGAAAACGCTGACAAATGCCAACAATAGCCATAACTGTGAGAAATAAAGCTTTCTTGCAAGTTCTTCACCTTTCAAGGATTTAAACAATGGTATTTTTGAAGTGCTCTAAAAAGATCACTCTCTTTGGATTTTGCCGGGTCTTTTTACTTGCAGATGGATATTTTTCAGAAGGCAGGATGATGACTGAGCACAGTTTCTCATGGGTGAATGGCGGCCACCACCTTATGGGGCCTCTTAACTGGGAAGAGGCCACTGTGACAATATCTATCGCCTGCAATAACCCTCCGAGTGTCATTTCCCCAGGGAGCAGCTCGGCAGGGCTGCGGCTGAGCTGCTGAGGCATTTAAAGGCTTTCTCCAGGTCAGGCTCTCAACCTCTTGTCTGCAACAGAGTTCTCATGGGATTGATTTGTCTGGAACAGTCAACAGATTTTAAAGCACCCCACTGCCTAAACATCTGGCAGAAATAATTGCAAGCAATGGCAGTGCTTTTTACTGCATGTGGCATCAAAAATGCTTGCCTGGACTGGCAACAGCGAGCGAGGGTGCCAGCAAAGGAAAGGGATGTGTGGAGGGTATATTAAATAGGTTTGTGGAGGAGCCCTTGGTTAAGGTGAAGAGCTGTTATCCCTGGTGCTGTGAAGGGGTAAATCACACCTGCTCCCAGCAGTGGAAGCCCATGCTCTGGAGGAGAGGAGATGCACAGAGGCTACATTCCGATTGAGCCATGTGCTGTGTCCAGAGATGTGACAAGCAGTTAAATGGCTCTGTACTTTTAAAGGGCTCAGATTTTTTAAATCAAGAGAATTTGTGTCCCATGCTGCCCAGCCCTAGTGATATCAGGCTCAGAGGTACAGGCCTCTGGTTTGGGTGGGAGAAATTGTGCTTCTTTTTGGTGGTGTTAGGGCCAGTTCTGTGTCTTTTCTCCTTGAGTCTTAAGGAATCCTTGTTTGTTTGTTTTTAACGTGGGGTCCCTGGGTGGGAGAAGCATCTGCTAGAGATAAATTGCAGAGATGGCATCTATCAGACTTAGGAGTATTGGGTGGGTCACTGTTGTCTAAACATCAGATTTGTTTCTGTTTTGGTAGCAGAGCACAAAGTGGCGACTGGCCGTACGCCAGAGCAGTGTCATTCCCGGCGTGAAGCAAGTTGGAGTTGCAGTTGGAAGTGGTTTCCGAGAGCTTTGTGCAGACTAAGAATAGCCCTGTCAGGTGCTGACCCACATTAGCTCAGCGGCAGGACTCTTTGGAGCCTTCGGCCTGACACCTGTCATGAGTTCTCGCCCGATTGTGTGTCTGCACATTGTGTGTGTGTGTGTGTGTGTGTGTGTGTGTAAAATGACCTGCATTTCTGTGCATAAGCAAAAACCTGAGAAGCAGTCGGAGAGTCTGATTTCAAAAGCTGTTGAACTGCAGTGTGGCAACGTATGGGTGGTGGGTCCCCGGGGTGCCCCACCTGCCAAATGGAGAGAGGCAGTCCCTTTACAGGGCAAGAGCAGTCTTGGTCACTCATGAGTTAAAGGGCTTCTCTCTCTCTCCCCCCCCCCAACCATCCTGAGCTAAGTCTGTGCAAAGAGGAAGCAGGGGAAAGCATCTCTCCTGCTGCGCTCGCTGTCAGTGTCATCCCAAACCCCAGCAGCAGAGAATGCCTGATCTTTTTCTCCTTCTTGACTCCTCCCCCCCCCCAGGTCTGCAGAAGAAATGAAACGCATGGAAGAAATCTCCACGCTCCTGCTGGACAAAAGGAAGGAGAGCCCGTTGCAGGAGCCCGAGTCGGGCGAGGAGGATCTTGCTGCGGATCCCGAGGAGCAGAGCTGGGAGATGGTGATGGACAAGAAACACTTCAAGTTGTGGAGGCGTCCCATTGGAGGCACCCATCTCTACCAGTACCGAGGTAGCCTCCCCCTGGGCTGGTGGCCCTCCGAGGGAAGTCCTAAAGCGTAGCCGTGTCTAAAAGGAAGGTGGTGGGGGGTCAAGCAGGCCAGCTTCATTAAATGCTTGGCTGAGCAAAACGGTGGCTTCCCAGACTTGGGAGCCTCCCATTTTCCTGGACTGCTGCTTGGAGGTGCCCTAGCCAGCACCGCCAGCAGGTCAGGGTTTCTCAGAGTTGTCGTCCCGAAACATTTGGGGAACCCTTGGAATGAAACCGTTTTAGCCCCTGTCTTTATGGGAAGCTTGGTGGGTCTTCACACAACCACCCCCAAAGAGCCCATCTCTGTGGCGCCTACCAGCTGCATCTCTGCTAGCCACGGGGGAGATAGCGTGGCTTCCGACGCCGGGTCCAAGGCACAGGGAGCTTTGTCCTTCGTGCCAGGTTCCTTGCCCTCTCCTCCCCACCCCCAACCCAGCATGGAGGGCTCACGGGGTAGATGGGAGTCTTGCCTGGCTTCTGGGGCATTTGACCAAAGGAAGAAAGAGTGGAAGAAGGCCAGATGTTTTTTCTCTCGGCTATACGGGGGAGCTTTTCAAGGCTTTCTTCCAATCAGCTCAGTGCAGTCTCTATGATCCTCTTTGCCCCCCCCACTTCACAACAACCCTGTGTAGCAGACCACCTGGCTGAGAGGGTGTGACCGGCCACAGGTGTAGCCATCTTCAGAGGGAGTCAGCACCTTGATCCATCTAGTTCAGGCTAATCCACTTGGAGTGGTGGTCAGCCCTCCAAGAGTTCACTCAGGGTGCTTTCCTTGACCTCGCTGGAGATCTCTGGCATTCCCTGGCTTACCTGCTTAACCTCCAGACTCAGACGAGTAGACCCACTGAATCAATAAGTGAACCCTTTTAGATCCTGTCAATCTTACCAGGTCTGCTCCATTTGGATTGTGGTCATAGTTGCTTGTATTTGGTGCCAATTTTCCTAAATGAAGCCTACCTACAGTCTAGCTTTTTAAAAAGCCATTTGTCGCGATAATGCATTCCCTGGCTTACCTGCTTAACCTCCAGACTCAGACGAGTAGACCCACTGAATCAATAAGTGAACCCTTTTAGATCCTGTCAATCTTACCAGGTCTGCTCCATTTGGATTGTGATCATAGTTGCTTGTATTTGGTGCCACTTTCCTAAATGAAGCCTACCTACAATCTAGCTTTTTAAAAAGCCATTTGTAGTGATAACGTTTCTCTTCCTTTTGCAGTGTTTGGGACGTACACGGATGTGACCCCTAGGCAGTTTTTCAATGTGCAGGTAAGCCTTGACTTCATCTCTTCTGTGTCCTGTGCGGATGGTGGGAGGTACCTAGCTCGGGTTTTCAACCCTTCTTGTATTCTGAAAGCCCTTGGCTCTCTCCCGTTCCTGTTGTTTCAAGACGTCTGGCTGAAAGGGGGAAATATGGAGGGGGCCACAGTCTGTGACAGAACGGTCTGTCTTCAGCGGTCTTCCCTTCTTGTGCCTGACAGCTGGAAACCCAGCACCAAACTGCCCTCCATGCTCACTGGCACACAGTTTGGGCACACGGTTCTTGTGTGGCTTTTGTAACTAAACCAAGCATCCCATATCACAGGGTGGTCTTTCCTTTCCACTTCTCCTTCCATCCACCCCATCCCTCCAGACATGGTGGTTGGTTCCACCTGCCCTTTAACAGGGATGTTCTGAGAGGTGCTCACAGGGAGCCTTCAAACATCTGATTTGCTTTCTCCCCCTCACCTTAATTGAATTATCATCTGTTCATGGACACCCCCTTGGAGTAAAAGGACAACTAAGCTCAGAATTCATGCCGTGTTGTGAAGGGTAGAGAATGTCCTGCAGGCTAGAAGGTCCCACGGATCTTTAAAGGGCATTTCTTCGTAAGTGTGCAAAAGTCTGTTTTTAGGGGCTATGACCTGAAATGCAGAGGAAGCCGGAAGGCATTAGGCTTCCATCTTGCCTCCTTATGACATGCTAGAGCCGTCAGTCCTGACCTTAAGTCCCTCGTTGTGCTGGCAAGGGCTTCTGGGAGCTGCAGTCCAAGAACCTCTGGGGGGACCCCGGGTGGACAACGGCTGTGCTAGAGCAATGTTTTTGGATTTTTCATTTTGGTGTGCAAAACACTTGCTCCATCTCCACCCTGAGTAAGTGTTTGTGGGCTCTTTTATCTTCTAGCTGGATACAGAATATCGCAAGAAATGGGACTCGCTAGTCATCAAGCTAGAAGTGATTGAGAGAGACCAGGACACTGGATCGGAGGTGGTTCACTGGGTCACCCACTTCCCGGTGAGCGCTCTGGTTCCTCCCCCCCCCCCAAATCTCCATCACATTACAGGTCACCCTAACAGATGGATTTTCCGGGCTGAGCAATATAACTGTTCTTCCTCCTCTTCCTCTTCCTCCTCGCCCTTTTCAGTACCCCATGTACTCCCGAGACTACGTGTACGTTCGGCGGTACAACGTGGACCAGGAGAACAACCTGATGGTGCTCGTCTCCCGGTAAGTGACCCTGGACCCCACGAGAGCCCTGTTTCGCCTTCGGAACGCATGCAAAATGCAAAGCTTCTGTGTGCACAATTTTCCTTCCAGGGCTTGGGTTTTCAGTTGGTTTGAAAAGTTTTGGGGGTGAAAGAGAAACGAAAACCAGAATTAGGGGTTTTAAAGTGACTTAGAAACTTAGAAGGGCAGGCATATTTTACTTAACATTCGCTGTGTGCTTTAGACACAATCCTGTTTTAAAAATACACAGATAGGTTTGTCCACTGAACTAAATTGGACTGCCACAGTCGTGCATTTTATCAGATTTATAGGCCAAACCAGAGTGTCTTTCTGAAACATTTGTCGCTTTACCTGTTTCTTCGCCAGAGCCGTTGAGCATCCGGGAGTCCCAGAAAACCCTGACTTTGTCCGTGTCCGAACCTATGAGTCCCAGATGGTCATCCGCCCTCATAAGACATTCGATGAGGTAAATTCCCAGCCTTGATAATGAATCTGGAATTTGCGTTTCTTTGGGATGGGGGGTGGGGGGAGACCAGGGAAGAGGCAGGAACTGACTCTCAGGTAGCTGATGTTCCTTTGGAACAGTCCATCCGAAAAACAGTTATGGCACATTTAGGAATGAACCTCTAATGTGTGCCCAGGCCTGAATGACTTCCAGGTGTATGCATATTAAATACGTATAATTTACAAAGGAGGAAAGTTGGGTTATTACAAGACACACCTCGTAAGGCGGACTCCAAAGATGATGGCGCCCCTTCCTAGAATTTTTGTTTTGAGATTCTGCCAGCCAGGTGAGTGGCAGAAATGCCCACCCACACAGGGGGCTGTTTTCACAGCCTTGCGGGTAGGCCACGGGGCCACGTGTTTTGAAGACGCGTATGCCCCCCCTCTCTTCTGTGCTGCAACCAGCAGCGTTTGGGGAAATGGCACCTCCCAGATTCGTACTCCTTCCTGCTGTACGGTTTCTGTCTTAACCCTCTTGGGGGAATGTCCCTGTGACATTGGAGGGACAGGCGGGCCGATCACCTTGTTTAAAAGGACCTCGGAGTGTTTTCTCTTAACTCGAGTGCCCTTCAGAGGGGCTGGAATCGCAACCCGCAGAATTCACCAAGCAGGGCAGGCTTGGTGGCGTGGATATTTTGCGCGAGGGAGCCCCAATACGCGGAGGGTGGTAGGCCTGCCTTAACAGCCAGGAGCGCAAGGGTGGTATTTGACCCTGAGCACTTCCTTGAGCATCTCCTGATTAGTTTCAGAACTCTTGCTGTGTGTTGCTTCTGTGCTTCTGTGCCGTATTTTATTCGTACCCTTTAGTTTGGTGTTAAACAGTGGGAGTGAATAAACTGGTTGTGTAGATGGTGTCCCCCCACTGACAAGAGAGTCCTCGCGCCAGGCTGATAACATGCTTTCTGTTCTCAGAACGGCTTTGACTACCTGCTGACGTACAGCGACAACCCTCAGACGGTGTTCCCTCGATACTGTGTCAGCTGGATGGTCTCTAGTGGTGAGTTGCGGGCTGGGGCCACCGAACTAAAAACCGAAAATGATACGGTCGTGGCTGAACCTCAGGTGGATAAGGCAGAGGGAGAGAGAAGCTTTATGCTGCAGGCACTGCTCAGAGGAATTCCCCACCAGCCTCTGGGGGATGGAAGGGCAGCCCAGTGGGAAACGGTCACAGGGATTGAGAAGGGAGAAGAGAAGAGGGAGCTGCCGTATGGTTGCCATTTTCAGGCATCTGAAAGGCTGTCCTTGGAAGGCCTTAAGAAGCACCACCTGATCGTAAAAGGGCTTTTCAGACCTTGCGGGGGGGAGGGGAGACTTTCTCCCAAGGTTGGTGGAATCCGCCTTCACTGGAGGTTCTTAAGCCTAAACTGGACGGTCATCATCCGGGGGATCCTTTAGCTGCACAGTCTTATGTTGGCAGGGGATAGACTAGATGAGCTTTGGGTTTCATCTGAGCTCTGCAGTTTCTTTCTAGAGATCCATAAAAAGGGCTCGGTGGTATTAGGGCTCTAGGATGCTGAACGGTGCCTTTCCTGATCCTGTCCACTGACAGAGACAGGATCTGGACCGCAGGGGGAAGCAGGGTTGCTAAAGACGTTGGAAGCGCCCACCACGGAGCTCTTGCCGAGGCTCTTCCTCTGGGCTGGAAGGATTGTTGCTCTCAGCTCAAGCGCGCGGTTGGGTTCTAAAATCCTGTAAGCGAGTGCAAAGTTGCAGGCTTCCCTCTCTTTTCTGAGACAAGTGGACCTTTAGGTCCCAGCTTAAATGATCTGGCAAGGTAGCGCTGGATGATTCTCCAGCACTTCAATGCGATCCGTGAGCAACCTTCCCCTCCCTTGGAGGAGAGATGAGAGGCCCCGTGTCACTGTGAGATGGCCCACTCCTGCCCAAGCTGACGTCATCTAGGTGGGATGTGGGCTTAGCCTGTCCCCTCCCCGACTCCCAGTTTCTTAGATGCAGCTGCTCATAGTCACTGTCTCTGACTTCTCTTCCTCCACCCCCCCGCTCAGGCATGCCAGACTTCCTGGACAAGCTGCACATGGCCGCACTGAGAGCCAAGAACAAGGAGATCGCTGTGAAGGACTACATCGCCTCGGCCAGGCCCACCGAGGGCGGGAGCGGCGGCTGCAGCAGCGACGGGAAGGGTGGTGTCCCCGCCCAGGAGCACAAGGGAGAAGGAGGGACCTGCAGCCCGATCCAGATAGACTATGCTTAAGGTCATGCCCTGCCTCCTCGGAGTGGGCCTCCTGAGACTCTGGCCTCCGGGCTTGCAAGCAGAAAAGCAAGATCAAGGAGGGGTCCCCCTCCACCACCACCTCCAGTGGGACCTTAGTTCAGCCAATCCCCTCCTCTCGCCACACCCTTTTTCTCCCTCCCCTTCACCCCCTGCCTGCCTGCCTGCCCCCTTCCATCTCTGCCGCCTTGGAGGAAGAGGGGGCACGGTGATGTCAGTCGTCGGGACTTGGGCGTAGCAATTGGGAAAAGCACTTTTGTGTGGCCAGTGTTGTGATCGTGGTCTTATTCCCCAGCAGGGGATGCAGTGGAGATTCCCCGGGTTGGCAGGCAGGAGTCCTTCGTCCCTTGTGTCGCCCCCCTCGATGCTGTCCAAATGCCTTTTGCAAAATTTGTTGTGGGTTCTTGGCTTGCCAGCCCCCACCATGCCTGCGCCAGGGTGTTTTGAGTGTTGCCAGTCCAGATGAGGGTGATTTGTGGGCGCAGGACCTGTCTCTGCCCCCCCCCAATGTTTGGGACTGGATGTTTCCCTGGTGCCTGGAGTGTGCAGAATGCCTTTGCCTTCCAGCCCCCCAGGAAATGTCTGCGCTGCTCACGTGCCTTTCGTCTCTCTGGCACGACCGCCTTCCGCCTCTCCCACAGCGGCTGGAGGCAGACCTGTGCTGGGTCCTCCACGGGCTTCTCTGCACCCATGCTCAGCCGTGGCCCTGCCTCTGGGGGGTGTGTGGGTCTTTGTGGATCCCCCTTGCCTCTCTGGCGTGGCGGCGTTCCACCACTACTGCCTCATCATCTCCCGTTTGGGTTGGGTGCATTTGTCAGATCAGTGGCATTGACACATGTGCTGCCTTTGTGTTCCTTCTCCTGTGCTTTGGGGGTGCATGTTTCTCAGGTGGGGGTGATTTGGAGTGGAAACCGGGACTTGTCTTGAGCCAGTCCAGCTTCTCCCTTCCCTTTTGTGGGTTTGGAGAAGTCCTCTTCGGCGGCAGGCTTGCTTATAACGGGCCCCTCGGGGAGCAGAGTGAGAGGGGGAGCTGGTACAGAGGCGTTCTGCGTGGCGCGTGGCAGACAGAGGAGCCTCTAACACATTTTTTTTTTGTCCTTGGGATGAAGGGTTTTGAAACCTCGTATGAAACAGATAAATGTAAATATTTTACCATTTATGTCACAACCGAACCGCTTGGTTTTCAGAGAGGGGTGGAGTGGAAGCACAGCCGGTGCATGCATCCTTCCTAGATATTCGAAGGATTTTAAACTCTTAGCCTCGGTTTGGTTTCCTTCCACAATCAGGAACGTACGAAGGACGGTCCCTCACATTTGCCCTTGCAGTGCCTGAGAACTGGCTGGGGTGGGGGGAAGAGGAAAAGACATTCCGTCCGTCCTGCTATAAATGTTGCCTTTGAATGCATTCTAGATGGAAGAACAAGCATGTGCCTCGACTCTTTTCTTTCCAAGCATAAGCACTCTTATGCCGTATGTGCTCTAAATGGAGTCGGGCGGTGGTTAGAACCCCTGAAAGGTGCCTCTGGATGGAGGCAGATGCTTTTCCTGGGACTGTTTCCGGCAGGTGTAAAACAGAACAAGTGGTGTGTGAGCTCAAACACTGTCAAGATGTTAATCTCTTTGGGGAACCAGGTCTGTGCCAGTGAAAAGCCAGGTGCTTCTCTCACCTGATATGTGTTTTAAGTGTGTGATTTGTTTTACTTTTTCTTAACCTGAAGCCAAACGTGTGAGCTGCTTGGAGGGAGCGGAGCAGCGCCAGCCAAGCGCTGAGACAGGGGAGCTGCTCTTCTCCGTCTGGTAGCCTCGGGGGGCAGCCTACTTTGTCACTAACGGGTGTGTGTGTGGGGGGGTGGGGGATGGGGATTGCGCACAAAGACCCCTTGGGTCTTTTTTTGCAGCCAACGAGGCCTGCCTGCCAGCCTAGCTGTCGGTGGACTTCGTTGCGCTTTGATTTTAAAGCAAATGTTTTTATGAGAACTGAAGCACCAATAAAAGGCGACGACTGGCCTGAGCCGCCTCCCACCTCGGTTTGCCCTTTCTGGCGTTGCAACTTTTCTTGTTGGGTTTTTTTGTTGTTCACAAAGCGTGCCTTCTTTTCCTAACGTCAAGGTGGTTTTGAATCTTAAGGGAGGGAATAAATGGGAAAAGTGGCCCTACTTCCGATTTACCAATTTCCCTCCTGACCATGGTATGATCACAGTCCCGTGAAGTCAGAGCGCTGGCATCCTCATCCTCATCCTGGTAGACTCCTGAAGACAATCGCGTTATCATGGGCAGTTCCTTCCCTTCTTTACTGAAGGCCCAGACTTTCCCATTACTCGTGGCTAAACAGCATTCCTGTCTTTCATTTAGGTCTGTATGTACACACAGAGAGACAGGCAGACAGACAGACACAGAGAGAGAGAGAGAGAGAGAGAGAGAGAGGAATTGGAATTTTGAGCCGCTGTGCAGCTTTATTTATTTAAACCCTGCCTTTTCACTAAGAAACCAATCCAGAGCATGGCAAAGAGTAAAATGCAAAGGTTTTTCAATGTTTTCATTTTAACCTCAATTTAAAAAGTCTGTGTAGGTGAAATTTGCTTCCAGAGGGCTCACGGTCATCGCCTTGATGGTTCCTCCTTCTCTGGGTTTCCTTTGCTGTTCCAAGAGTCAAGATGTTGCTGTCTTGTTTCTGTGCCACGAGGTGGCAGCCTCCCCCTATGCCGTCCTTTTAAGGCTCTCCTGCTAGGTCAGGCTCTGATGGAAAGAAATACAAGACCGGACCTCCCGAGTCTGGGTGCGTCATTTCCTCCCAGTCGGGTTTGTGAAGCATCATCTAGGTCATTTTGCAACTCAAGAAGGTTAAACATTCAGGCTATGGAGCATTTTGCAGGATTCGGGGATCCCTATTTTTGCAGAGGTTAACTATTGGCATGTAGAAGAGAGCAGAAAGAAGCCCTCTCCTCTCACCTCCGGCATCAGAGGAGACCCAGTGGGGAGTGAATCAGCTTCTTTCCTAGAAGCCCTACCCTGTGTCCACCCCGTAAGGTATAAAGCCTGTCTGAATGGGCTGGCCGTGTGTTTCTGGAGTGCAGCTGCCGAAATCTCCCATGACTGGTTCTCTCGGCTGAAGGTGCTTGGAGAGAGAGCCCAAAACATCTGGATGGTCACACGTCACCTGCTCCAGCAAGGACCAGTTTATGCCCTCAGCCGGTTCTATGTCGTTTTCCCTGCTCTGTGTCAATTTAGGGTCTTTGAAGGGGAAACACCCCTTGTATCTCCACTGCAAATAATTTTTGTATCCTCAGAAGATTAAGAAAAAACAACCAACAACATCTGGGCAAATGGTTCAGTCTGTTGACCTTGCCGTCTAAGCTAGAGTAGCCCATTTTATTCGGCTTTTTCTATAAATTGGCTTTCCCTAAGCGCTTAAGGGGAGGCCATAAACAGCAGCCCTGGGTATTGGTGTTGTGTTGGACTTGATCTGAGCAGCTTTGTGCTCTGCCTCACATCTTTTTTTTCCCTTGATTTGCTAATGAAAGCCGTTGGTTCTTCATCATGGCCTCTGTGAACGACCCATATGGGTTGCCTCACATCTTATTCTTTAATCTTTAATTAATAGTAATTAACTTATTAATAATTATATCGTAATAGTTGTAGTATAATAATTTAAAATAATACTAATAAAATGAATAATATTAGTATTTAATAAGTAAGCATAACAGAGTTGTCGCTGAGACCTGCCATTTTCTGCAGCTGATCTGATTCCATTAAAGGCCAAATCCTTTTGGGCTGCTGCTTTTTCATTTTTATTTCATAGATAGGATTGCAGTTTTAAATGTTTGCATATTTTGTCATAGTGCTGCTCGTTAATGTAACGACAGTGATGTGTGCAGCCCGTTTCTCTCCAACTGTAGATTCACTTTTAATGTCTTGGCTTGTTCTGCTGGTTCCCCCAACTGTTTTACGCCAGCGAGAGAGGCAACAGCATTCATCCAGAATTAAATCCAGGGCCCACAACGTACACCCCAAACTTCTTAAAGGTGGAAGCCTAATAGTGGTGGGAAAAGATCCATTTGGAGTGGGGGGGCTCCTGCTTTCAGGCGCTGTATTCCAGGAGCTGGTCATATCCTGGGAACGAGCTGGCCATACCCTGAACCAGTTCCACAAGCCCATCTTCTGACAACATGGCCAGTTTGCTGTAGGGAAGGAGGCAGGAAAAGGAACCAAGACTCGTACAGAGACACAGCAAAGCTGCTTCTCCTGAGACTGGATAGCTTGGCTTCAGTAGAGGGAACAGAACAGCTGGCCCTACATGGACTCAGCAGTCGGTCTCCTCCACAGCGCTTAGGCGCCCGTATCGTCAGAGAACGGTTTGACTCACTCATGGCTTTGTCAACTCTAAGGAGTGGGAAGGTCGGTTCAGGCCACTTTCTCTTCCACAACCCTATAATTTCACCCCTCATTTCTGCTTGGAAACGCGTGGCCGAGGGAGCCTCCTTCTCGGTGACCTTTGTGGGGAGCTGCCAAGGGACTCGAAACGGTCCAGGCTGAGGGCGGGGGTTACGCTGGAATTGACTCATGCCAAGCGGAAGCCGCTTGCCCCTACACAACCTCATGCGGTTCGGGCAGCTGCGCAGTGAGGGGAGCAGGAAGCAGGTGCGCGGCATCAGCCCGTCTCATGTTGTGGGATCAAAAAAATGCAAGTTTTTCCACCACTCTGAAAAGGTGTTTGTTGCTGCCTGTCAGCGGTATGTCGGTTATGGTGACACACAGGCTGTGGGCCATTTAATCAGCTCAGGGTGTTACATTTTTAAAAGGAACTTGGTGCATTCCTCTTTACTCCTCTGAAGCCAAATTATCATCAGTACCATTGCTCAGATCACAAAACTGATCTGTCGCATTGTGCCTTATGACTTAACACCAGGCCAGAAAAATGCAAATAAATGTTCTGGTTCCCACTAGTGTTCAATTCTAATATTGCATCTTGCTTTCTAAAAATCTGACCAACAGCAAACCAAGAATACTTCCTTTGATAAGTTTAATAACTTCAAGGGCGTTTTAAGGAATTTGACAGTAATTTGATGCACATCACACTTTTATCTGTCCTTAGTAACTACAATGTTAACCTGTTACTACTAAAAGGTAACTATCACCGAGTTTCATCATGAGTAACTGTCATTCACTGTTTTTGAAAAGTAAGCCAGCTTACCATGCTTTGTTTCAGGCTGTACAAAATACAGGATGTGACTTTAAAACTATTAACTGTATTTTAGGGGGAGCTTTTCTGGGCTATAGCGCACTTCCGTGGAATTATGGCATGTAATAGATCCGTACAGGTTCATAAACAAGGATGCACTGGAAGTGAAGAGGAATACTTGTACAGAAAATGGATTTTCAGTTACAGATCTCTTGTTATCACAAGTTTGGTTCTCCACCGGGCCTCCAGGGAGAAGAGCCAGCCTGGGTGGCCTTGGGCCAGCTGCAAACAGTCCCAGGACACCCCTGGAAGAAGGGAATGGGAAAACACCCAGAAAATTTCTGGAAAGGGTTGCTGTAAGTCAGAATGAACTTGATGATGCACAATTTTTATTGAAAGATGCAGAGATTTGGCCAAGGGCCACAATCGGTCTGCGCCTTTGCCGGATTTGTGTTCATTTCCTTGAAAGATGCAGGTAGAGTTCCCACCTCCATGGTGCCCCCAAATTCCTCCACGCTGTGCCGTGTGGATTTTCCATCTTGGACTGGCCTACTTTAGAAGAGGGGCTTGAGGAGCGGAGAAATAGGGAGAGGGACGTTTTAAAAGCCCGTCCTTTTCAGGCAGTGACACCCCCATAGCTTAGAGGTTGGGCGTGTAGGGATGCATCGGTGGGCGAAATGCATGGGAGGGAGAGGCGCTCAGCCTCCAGCCTACGAACCACAGCCAACAAGCCATGTTCTAAATGAAAAAGTCACAAACACAGCCTTCCTCCACCAACCTGGTGTTTTTCAGGCTAAAACCCCCCACGTTTCTGGAGGCCGCAGGGGAAGGCTGGCTGGGGATGATGGGAATTGTAATTCAAGCCATCTGGATAACTCCAGTTTGGGGGGAATGAAGGGATTCGCTCTGGCAGTCCTTAAGCCTTTCTGTTCTTTCATGGCTGTAGAGAGGGGGGTTGCATCAAAACTTTGGGGGCTCCAAAATTTAGCAGCTGCTAAATTTGCCATCGGTAGCACTGCTGCCTTTGTAGACGTAAAAATCTGGATGTACGTGTGTATGTGCTGACTTACATTCAACTGACATTTCTGTGTGGGTATTTCATAGGTCACAATTCTGCAAAAAATAAAAGGGCTCTTGTGTCAAGAAGCTGGGAACACCAGGCCGATCTAAATTTAAGAGACAAATTGTTTTGTTCATTGCAAAGCTACTTGCAGACGGTAAAAAGACGCCCAGATCTTTAATCCGCTTTTAGGGAATAACAGAGTTGTGACATGAGGCTGGGAAGGAGAAGAGGGGGTCTTCTGCTGTGTCACACTGCCCCTAATCATGTGAAATGACAACCACAGTGAGGTCTGTGGGCTTTTGCACAACCTCATCACATGTGCCCAGTCGAGTGATGGAAGAGTTACAGGACAGCCGAGGGGTTGTGGTTTTGAAGGGGCTAAGCAGCTAGCTTTTTCTTAGTTGGAGATTCTCTCCATCTGGCTTTTGCTAGGCTTCCCCTACAGCTAATCAGGTCCCACCTTGGCTCTACCCTTTAGCCCTGAGGGCTGAGGTGGTTTTTATATAGATTATGCACTGAGGTCTGGAAAAGATTATACAATATCTGAAATCTTTTTTTAAAAAAACACACTTCCCCATCGAAGCCTCTCTTCTTTTCTGTTTTTATTCTAATTGGAAGTTTCTGACATGGGGCGTCTGAACGGGGAGATGAATTTGAATGAGAAGTGCCATAGCGCTAAACAGTTCCTGTCCCGGAACCAAACAAGACCTAAAATAAACTCGGAGGAAAGGAGGGATGAAAAGGAGGGAGAAGTCATGAAGAAAAGGACCGACCGGAGTCAGACAAGATTTCTGTTA